GGAAAAAACAAAAAAACAAACCCAAACCCTAATTTCAGGCAACTTGAAGTGATTTGGAGAAAATAAAAACAACCTAAATGCTTCTGTCTCAGTATTAGAAGGTTGATGCCATGGTTCTTAGAGGGATATGCCCCCACCCCTCCCCTACCCAATTGTCATTATTATAGCAATCCCAATATACCAACGTTAGACACTCACCTATTTTGAAACCTTAGCACAACAATCAATCAATAGACGTCAACACCTGAAAGTGTGATCCACACACCCCAGAGACCCTGACCTTGCACATGAGCAAAATATATCAAGAACCAACCTCTTGCCAGACTGAACCCTGGGTGTCGACGTGGAATTACCACTGCTGGGGTTTGGTTGACAGACATACTGCCTGTTATAGGCAAACAACCAAACTCCTCCAGGGAAGGTGGACCAAGCAGGATATGCTGTTTTCAATCCACGGTACAAATTTTATAGCCCCTGCAGCTCATAACTTGCATCACCTTGGCTCTGCTATATTTTCTTAGAGGCAGAGAGTTCTGTGCAGTTTGGAGTGGGCTCAACAAGCCTACATAGCCACGAGGTACAATAACACTGCTCATGTCTGATGAGTGGCCAATACCTCCCCAGGGCCCGATTAATCCTTTAGTGGGCCCTAGGCAAACAAACTCATGGGCCCCCAACTGAAGATGAAATTTTTTATTACTTTTTTCTGCTCAGTAATAATATGTAAAATAAGCACGACTGGGCCCCATCTTCACTTAGGGCCCTACGCATGTGCCTAGTATGCCTATGCCTTAATCCGGCCCTGTACCTCTCAGTAAAGACTGCAAAATGGTTAAGAGCCAAATTTCACTTCTGCTTTTTCTTCTCTGCCCTGACATTCTGCCTACTGAAAGGAAGTATTTTGCGTCTGAAACCCAGTCGTATGCTCCCTGAAGCCCAGTCACTCCCGCACTTCCCACTGTGGTCATATAAACTCTGCGTTGTTTTTTCCTTAGATGGCACTATAAAATACAACAGCAGCAGTCTTAGGAGTGCCAATCAGGGACCGGAACCCTGTTGTGCCAAGTGCTGTGGTTGTGTCCCACTGGTATATGCAGCAACCCTCAACTCAGGCTGGTGTGTTCATCACAGCTCCATACAATCACTCATGTGTAGACCTACTCATCTGGGGAATATCTGCAGGCAATCTGAATGGCTTTTACCAGCATCTCCAAGGGCCTGCAATTCCAGTAGGACCACCAGGAAGCAGCAGGATGGTAAGAGTGTTTAACCCCAACACAATGCCCCTTGTTTATTGCCAGCATCCCCCAGAATACCACATCTGGCACTGGCGTTCATATGGTGCTATCTACCCTTGCAATCCCCTACCAACTCTTCTACTGCACTAGTGAATATGAGCAATGTGTTGGCATTCATTACCACGCACCACAAGGTTCACTCAGATATAACTGAAAGTGACATTTCAGAGGAACTCCTCAGGGCACTGATGAACAGATATGCTGTCAAGGCTCTGAGCACTCGTCCCAACTAGAAGTGATCAAATACAGGTCAGATTTCTTTATAACCGTCCCAACCAGCTCATCTTAATGACTGAGATCCCTCCCCAGGAGCAGCCAGGTGCTCTCAAAGGCCAGCAGCTGTTTGCTGCAACATGTGCAACCAGATCCGCCAACAACCCTTCTGAAGGAGTTTTACAAAGCTGGACTAGCTCCACCCAGGAGGCTGATGGCCTGACCCAAGAGAACTCCATCCCTGGTCCATTACACACCAGCAAATTAAAGCCTTTTGCATAGACCAGAACAAATGACACCAACACACCTCAGTAATGGCTGTAGTCAAAAATCTGGCTTGCTGTTTTCAGCTCAACTGATCCCCCTGGAGGCCAGGGGTTTTGCAGGACCCCCAAGCAGTGCAAGACTCCATCCCAGTAGAGGGCAACTAAAGTGGCTTGAAGCCACCACTGTGCTTTTGCTTGCTTGAGCTACTCCAAGAGTGCTGTGCGATTCTTACACATCCACAGGTCAAGTTGTCTACAGGGCGCAGAGCTGCCTGGATTCTCCACAGTTCTGTTCGTTGCTGCCTATGGGCTCGCCCTGATCATGCCACCTTTGCCCCCACAAGTTTCTCCTCCATCCCTGTACAAGCACAAAGCTTGTAAGGGAGTCCAGGGAATGCATTTGTTTTTGTCAGTACTTGGGATGAAGAAATCCTTTTAGAAGCCCTTCTTGGCATTCCTATCTTTTTACCCAGTGTAACAGGGCCAGAACTGGGATGATCCTCTCCCCACTGCTTGCATCTGAGGTTCATTTCCAAGCATTTGCATCTGGTCATGTGGAGGAAACAACATTCATAACTTTATTTGCCATGCCTATAGTGCTTTTCAAAGGTGAGCTACACCAGGATCTGCCCAGGTTTATGCATAGGGGGACAGGGAGTCTCATAACCCCATTAGCATCTCTGCAGTGGGGGCCAAACAATGGATCTGAAACTTTCACAGAAAACTTTCCTTACTTTTGTGGGGAGTGACTTAAGTTTCACAGAATTCGGCTTTAAGGGTCTCAGTTGTGCATGAGCCAATGGCTTAGAATGTAAAAATGAGCTCAAAGCTCAACATAGCAGAGCTAGGAGAGTTTTGTTAGTTTTGGGAAAAGTGGGAATTTCAAGAGACAAGAAGAGCTGAGCAATTATTCCCGTTTTCTGAGCATGCAAGCCCCCAAAGGAAAAGCTCAGACTGACACCAAAAGGGCTGCAGAGAGGCTTACAGACATCAGCAGCACTGGCTTTAACCAGGTGAAGCAGAACAGTCCATATTCTTTCCTGTGCCTTGTAGGGTGACCCATCTCATTGTACCAGTCATGACAGAAGCAAAAGCAATGCTTTCTAACACACAGGGATGTGACAACCCCTGTGAGCAGTACAACTGAGACATGACCACCTACCTGTTCACCTACTCCTTTTACCCCCACTCAGGTAAAAGGGCGGCGCACAGAAGGTCAGCCATCTTCACAGATGTCACCGAGAGATCTCTCAAATGCATGTGTGATTACATACACATTTGGGGTCCAATCCATTTCATCAGGGCATCATATGAATAAACCCTATTTCTCCCAAGAAGGGAAGTACTAACAGGAAACACCTATTGGGAGTTCTGCCTCTCAAATGCATGGGATTAATTCTTTTAACTGTGAAGGAGTAATAAAAATAAAAGCAAAACACCAGTTATTTCTTGCCACAGATAAATGTATTCATCCTACAGAAAACCATGACCACCCCTAAACTGTCCTACCTTATCTCAGCAGGTTCCAGGATGCTTCCTACTAGCAAGGGGAGCAATTTCACATTCAGTTATTTAGGTCATTTAAAAAAAAACAACCCTGCATTTGGAAACCCTCAAAATGTTTCTTCTGAAACCTTTCCCAGAGCCATAAACCTCAATATACAACCCATCAAAAAAAATGTGTACTATATACACTATGTATAGGCCAACGAAATACTCTCCAGCAAACTTGGACAGATTAAGAAAACACAGTCCCCAAAAGAAATAAAAAACCCTAAAATAAAAAAAACTAGTTAGAAAAAAAAAGAGCTGAGCACATACTTTTAATATTTTTAGTGATGAACATTTTTAGCCCTTTGAAATGAAATTCGCTTGATAGCTTGCAAATGAACACATTAAAAAGACATTGTACAGTGCTGTAGGATAGCTGCACAGCAACAGAGAGAGCTGATCCCTAAGTAAATCAATATGATGCCTGATACTGTGTGTAGATATTTATGAATCCGTGTTTTGCATGTATAAAATTGTTTTGTGACAAAAACAGTCCGAGCTGATCTACAGTTCGAGCTGGGATAACAGTTACATTAACACTTCATAGACTCAGAAATGCCTCTTCCAAATGAAATACATTTAGGGCATTGGGCCCCAAACACAGGCAGAAACTTTAGTGAAAAAGCAGATTTGTGTTAAGTTTTGCCAGGCTGGAGTGTCAAGAAAACAGTTTGTTTGGTCTATTATTACCAGTGTGATTAGCAAAGTCCTCAAAACCTTTCTAAAAAAAAAAAAAAAAGAAAGAAAGCTTAATTGGATGCAGCTTAGAAAGCCAGACTCCTTTCCCTTCTCCTAAACAATTATTGCATTTTCTGTTTACCAGCATTGTTACAAGGACCTGCCAAAGTTGCAGCCCAAAGCAACGAGACAGGCATACACTTTTCTCACTGCAAAGCTGAAAGTGCTCGCCCCGGCAACACCCCCCCTCCCCCCATAAAACTTTATTTTACCCCCTTCTCCCCCCAATCCATTTCACTGATCCCCTTCACAGAAGGGCTAAAACACAGCACCGCACAAGCAAAGCAGAGGGCAAGCATTTTACTCACAGAAAGTCCACCCACGCGTCTCTCCGCAGCAGCAACCCCTGCGCGCACACTCACAAACCAAGATGCCTTTGCACTTCCAGGAGGGGAGGCTTCTCTGCGAACTCCCAGCAGTTTTTGACAGAGATGGGAAGTCGGGGGGAAATAAATTAATTTCTTAAATTTCCCTCCCCCCCTCCTTCCCCCCACCCCCTGGGGCTCCTTGCTGCCTGGGGGAAGGGAGACTGATTCTTGGGGAAAGTTTTGGGCAGGCGCTGGAGCTGCAGCACCGGGGAGGACGTGCAGGGCCCTCCATTAACGCCGGGAAAGTGACCAGAAAGAGACAGAGTGAAACAAACGAGCCCCCAAGTCCCACCTGCCCGCTCCAACCAACCCTCACCCCTCCCCAGGCACCTCTGGGCGATTTGCTCTCCTGCCATATTATTGCATCAAACACACACACACTGATCTTTTTCAAACAGCAAGCCAGCAACCTCCCATGCCCCAACACAAATATCTGCTGTACCCTCAGCAACTTAAAGAGGGAAATCTGTATCTATAGAGAGCTGAGAAAACATCCCACCCATTACAACTTCTCTCTTTCTAAAGCAAACTTTTCTTTTTTCTTTTTTTGCAGCTGTTTCACTCACCCGAGATCTCTGCTGGAGCAGGAAGGGGAAACACAGAGATACACAAAATGAAGAGAAGCAACAAAGACAATAAACTCCACGGGCTGGGAAGCTCCAGGCCGGATCTGCAGGGAAGTCAGCAACAGAGTTTGGGGCTGGTGGTTGTTGTTCTTTTGAGTTTAGGGGCTTATTTGTATTTTGGCGCTGACTGTTTTGGGGGGGGCTGGGAAGCCAGACCCTCCGTATGGAAGAACGTTTTTTGGATGACTGAACTCTCAAACAATTCCCTTCTTTTGCTACTCCTGAACTGGAGCCTCCCATTCCCCCCCCCCCCCCCCCCCCTCCCTTGAGGAGGAGGAGGAGCAAAAGAATGAGGAAAAAAAAACCCTAAAAGGAAGATAACCCACAATAGTCAGCCCTAAATGATGATAATCATCATCATCATATGGATTCTCCCTACTCCTCCTCCCAGCAGAGAGGATGAGTGTAAATACTGACACAGGATCATCCTTACACACTCCCTCCTCCCCCCAGAGAAGTGGAAGCTGGGAAAGTTGGACTGAAAAGTTTGGCAAGGCAGTAAAGTTCGTCCACTGCCCCTTGTCTGAGGGAGATGGTATGCGGCGCTTCTGACCTCTATTCATCAAGGGGAGGGGTTGAGGATGGAGTTAGGAGCTGGGGCTACTTCAGCCAGGAGACTTCCAGTTCTTTTTTCCCCCCTCCAGCATACAACACTAGTAAGAGCAGGATGTTTGGGCAGGAAAGTGAGGAGGTAGCTGCCTCTGGGAGCTCACAGCCTCTCTGATGGAAGAATTTTGTGTACCAGTTGGTTACAAAAGAGAACAGAGGCCTTACTTTCCGTGAATGATTGCCTACAGGCTTATATTTTATTGTGCAGGGTATGATGGTTGGGTTGGAGTAAAAACAGACAACAAGTTTGATTCACACCAGAGTATTTTGGCCCACACCAAATCCAGACCTAACAGACAACCAAGCTCAATGCCCCACATTAAGTACCTGTGAATTATTCAAATTAATACTTTGCCTGGGAAAAAACTCAGCTAATTTGACTTAATTGCCATTTAAGCCTAGTGTGTAAACAGCTGGACTGTGCCTGTTTTGGTGCACGTCATAGACTGAGCCAAACTGTCTCGCACTAAAGTTGGTTGTCTGTTTTTAGCCTTGGAGAACAGGGGAGGAAAGTTTGGGTCATTACCAGAATAAATATATAGAGCAGACAGAAAAGGGGATTCTCAGAATTGGTTTTTAGGACTTCTGTATTTTTTAAGCCCCAAACTCACAAACATTTTAGCCCCTTGCATAACTTCACTCATGGAAACAGTCCCATCTAATCCCTGGGTCTACTTGCGTGAGTAATAGGCTTGCAAGGTTAGGGTCTGTTAAGTGTTTATAAAATTAGTCTTTAAACTATTAAGGAGCTGCGGCAATTCTCCCTGCTGTGTTTGTACCCCATGACAGCGGAGCCCATTCAAGTTTCTGGGTGCCACCACCACAGCTAATAATATGACAGATCAACCTTAACCATATGGGTTACCTGCACTAGCTCCTACTAGTGTATGAGTTCCAGCAACATTCTTTACCATGGGGCTAAACCTGCTCTTACCAGTGTCACAACCTCTACTGACTTCAGTAGTGCAAGATCAGCCACTATGTGCATTATAGTGTAGCTGCAAAGTGATTGGTGCTACACTATGCAATGCATAGTGCTGGGAAAACCCCCAGCAACCCCCTGATTTTGCAAAGCCCACTGATTTTGAGGGGATTTGGGGGTGCTCAACACTTTTTAGGATAAGACCCAGAATTCATCAAGAGCAGACAGAACAATTTTTCAGTATGACGCAGTGTATCAATTTATACCCCAGCATCAAATCATGCATGCGCCACAGATTTACCAGAAAAGTCACTTTCAGAATGTGTCTGAGAGATGTTAAAAATATTGGGGCAATTTTTCACATCCCTGATTACCATGAGTTGACCTCAGAACCACAGAAACAACAACACAATCAACTATTAATAAATACGTAGAGCGTTTATGAAAAAAAGTGTTCAAGAGCTCTGAAGAGTGATGAAACCTACTGAGTTCTGTAGAAATTACTCTAATCACCTCTTGGATTAATTCTCTGTTAAATTCTACAGAACTGTTTAAAGTAGTGGTGCTTAACCTTCTGGCCCTATGGGCCAGATGAGTGAGGTGGAGCCAGTCTTTGGGCTGGAACAAGCATGCTGGGTCAGTCCACAGGTGCAATCCAGCATGCTAACCTGGCTGTGCACATTGACCCAGCACCACACACAGCCCAGTCTCACATGCCAGATCTATCCGCTTGCCAGCTTGACCCCATGTGTTGGATTGATAGTTGCATGCCAGCCCAACTCCATGTGCCGCATCCTGCCCTGTGCTGGCTCACTGCACTGGCCTCACCACGCACCAGCATGATCTAACTTGCAGGGCCATTTCATCTAGCCCGCAGGGCTTCCCACAGCTTTGGAAATCTGATAGCAGGGAACCGCAAAGCGGACACTGCCAAAGTGAACACTGCTCCCCCACTGCCAAATTTTTGGACCTGTGAGTAGACCTTTGAGCCAGGTGACATGGCCTCATGGGCCAGAGGTTGATTACCCCTTTTTTAAAGCATTTATGATTTGGACAGGGACGATCCTGCCTTGTGCAGGGGATTGGACTAAATGACCTCCTAAGGTCCCTTTCAGCCCATTTTGTATGTCCTTCCATCTAGAGGAAAGTTAGCATTTCTGTTAAATTCTATGGAACTATTGATAAGGATGGCTTGGTTTAGGAACACCACATCCACCATCTGTGTAGGTCAGGGGTGCTCAGCTTTTCTGCCCCACAGGCCAGATGAGCAGTGAGCAATCCATCCTTAGGCTGGATCCAGCCAGCGGTCCTGATCCGGCACTTGGGGTGGACGCAGTGGTTCCCCATCCAGCTGCACAGAGCAGAACAGCCTAGTGCTGATCCAGCTGCATGAGGAAGGGGGCTTGGCTTGGCTCCAACCTGGCTCTATGGGGGCAGGGGCATAGCCCGGCCCTGATTAGCTGCACCAGAGGAAGGGGTCACGGCCTGGTTCTGATTCAGCTGTGTAGGGACAGGGGGCATGACCTAGCCTTGGAAAAATCTCAGCTAATTTGACTTAATTGCCATTTAAGCCTAGTGTATAAACAGCTGGACTGTGCCTGTTTTAGTGCAAGTCATAGACTGAGCCAATCTGTCTCGCTCGAAGATGGTTGTCTGTTTTTAGCCTTGGAGAACAGGGGAGACCCAGCCAGGTGGACAGAAAGGGACATGGCCTGTTCCTGATCTGGCTGCCAGGGAGGGGTTGAGCACCTCTGGTGTAGATGATTGGATTACATGACCTGTGATATTCCTTCCAGCCCTATGATTCTGAGGGAATATATATTACAACTACGGTACAACACACTCCTATCTTCAGCTTCACAACACTCATATAACTTTCTCTGTGCCATCCTATCTAGAACTGCCACCCATACAGAGCCATGCAGATTTTTTTTGTATTAAACACAGGTCTGCTTGTAACCTGAATCCGATTACCTGCTATAGAACCCCATCCAAACTGGATCCTTCATTGTAACTCTGACAATGACCTTAGGCAAGTCCTTTTTCCACTCTGTACCTCAGTTTCCCTAGCAATAAAAACAGGATAGCCTGTTTATGAGCAGTTTTGGGTCAGTCCATCTGGTTTCTCTGCAGGAGGGTTGATCCTCCTTTCGATCTCTGCAGTACCATTACTTAGCTGGAGCTGATGATTTGTCCCTGAATAGAGAGGTATTCCTAAGGAGAAAAGCTGAAAGAAAATGTAGATTAAGGGGGGAATGGGAAGAAAGAAGACTGAGAAAGTGGAGTGATTTTATAAGGAATTAAACTTTGTAAAAGATCCAGGTAAAACAAGATGAGTTCAGCCCGTTACTGCTGGCTGCTGTTATATTTTCCATAATAAGTGCTATAGTAACATTTTGCCACCTTCTCAGTGAAGGCAACTCCTTCCAACTGCTTCACTGAGGAGGAAATATGTGAATCCCACGTAAGTAAGGAAAGACTGCAGACCTTGGCATCTGGTCAAGAAACATGAGAGAGGGGAACAGGAAGAGGCTGGCAATGCCACTGTTAGATTGGCATGCAGGCCTCCCTTTCACAGCAGCAAGGTGCCTTTCAGGCTCCATTCTTCACATTAAGTTCCTTTTCTGGGTGTCCAACAATTAGACTTCCTATTCTCTGTTTTCTTCCAATCCTTCTTAGTTCTATCAGATACCTCTTAGGAAGCTGGCTAAGGATTTGGAGAAACTTGCCTTGACAAATGCAGAAGATTTGGGAGTATAAACTCCTCAGGTTTCTTCTGCTACTCAAAACACAAAAAATCCTGAGGTTACGGAGGCAGCCTCCTTCCAACCAAAGGTTGTCCTTGCAGGAGCTAAGCAGGATAATCACTACTTGGAATGCTAGACCCTAAGGGAAGAGGCTTGTGGCTTGGGTCCTCCTTTCCCATGTCCACCCTCCCAACCCAGGGGATAAGGATAGAGGAGAAGTCTTTTCTTCATGATGTTTGAAGAAAAATTCTGGGAAGTTCATTGATTAATAATGCAGGGGCATAAGTCACCTGGATGAGACACAAACAGTGCCTGCCAACTAACTGACCTGAGGAGAAATTAATGCTCAAACTGCAGTCATTCTGTGGGAATTAACCATTGGGTCAACCTCCCTAAGGTACATGGTGGACTCTGTCACTTACAGCCTTTATATAAAGATCGAATAACCTTCCAAAAAGTAGGCTGTAGCACAAATGGAAGGATTATTATGAATTTCTTGAAGAAATGTCTCTCAGGCCTACATGTGTAGGAGACCAGACTAGGCCTTATAAGCTATGAATAGTGTCCTTCAGCTGCCCCCTCACCACAGGTGTGGAAAAATAGTTGAGATGTGCAGCCTGCATGGTTGGCTTTCCTGGACCAAGGAAAGCCTGGAGTCCTACATTTGAGAATCCCTGTCTTTCAAACCAAGGTCTTGGTAGCTCCAGCCCTCCTTAGATTACAACTATGTTAGTATCTTAGGGGAGTAAAACCAGGTTCTCAGATAAACTGAATTTAAGTCTGTGCCCACCTGACTTCATGGAGCCTCATCTGTGCGGCCCCGGAATGTGTGATAGCGGTCTGCCATGGAGAT